GGGAATAAAATTGCATTCAATATGTTGATAGCCAAAGTTAACGGTACAAGTAAATATTATATATAAGAAATGTATTTTTTTCTATAGAGCCCTATGAGTACTCAGCATGACACATTATAACAGCTAGTGCTAGTATAAGTAAAACGATTGTTGGTTCAAATACAGTGCTGTGTATTGTTAATCCTCACAAGGACTTGCATTATTTAAGCTATAGTCTTCTTTACTGTAGTTAAAGACAATACACAAACATTCAAACAAATAAAATCCACTTTGAACAGCTTGGAATTCAAGACAGTACGATATGTATATCATTATAGCAAGCTTAATATTGTTTAAAATGTAATCCCATTATTTAACTTGCAGTGGGAAAGTTGAGACCAGCAAACTTTTTCATATGAAATTAACTTTATTAAATATTGAAATTGCTAGGTGTTGTATTAAAATCACATCGATAGACAGTGAAGTATCTACTTGTTCAAAGCACAGTGTATTACACAAAAGTAGCATAACATGGTCTGTGCGCTATAATACTACCAATTCTACATAAACGTAAGCTCAAGTTTGAGGGAATTTTTTTTTCAAACGTTGGCAAAAAATCTAAAGTAGTGTGTCTTTAAACAGACTGGGGGCACAAAGCTTTACAGTATTATATATACATTAATGAGTCATATCTTCTCCAGCCAAATTGGGTCTGAAATGACTCCTCCATTTCACAAAACCTAAAATACTATCACGACAAGATAGCTTGAAATTCAATACAAAACGCAAACATATTCTAAATAGCTACAAGACTCAAAAGGAGCTATTCATAGTCTTGTCTTTTAAATCATATAAAAGCCTTTTCAAGACATTTGTAAATTTTTGCTCTTCATAGTCCATAGATATGTGTTCTAGTGTGCGTCTGTGTGTGTGCGTGTGTTTATTAAGAAAATGACTTTGGAAAAGAAGCTTAGCTCAAGACACTGCACTGAATTGTTCCCTAGACATGGCTTGAACAAAATCAAAAAGTAGGGTGAGAAAAATTGAGCATCTAAATTAAGTCAGAGGAGCTCATTTATGATAAACTTGACTCATCCGTAGGTTATATAGTATAATTTACTCAATTTATTTTAAATTCCATACACCTAAGCGCCATAAACGCCATATATAGCTTATAAGAAAGGTTTACTTGACAATGTACACAAACATGAAACCAATTTGTTGCAGTCAAGCGTATGTGTAGCATTGGATAATTGTCAATCAGTCTTTACCTCTTTAATGTTCCATTTTATCAAGGCTTCTTCCTCTTTTTTGTTAAATAATAATAATAGATAGTGTTAACGAGTAAAGAATAGTGTAATTGGTTTCTTTAAAGGCTATAAAGAGAAAAAACAAAAGACCTACAACTTGTATTGATATCTTTATTAAAAAGTTACTCAGATAATACGAATGTTTTGACAGGCTAACTAGGATATTAGCGCTTCTTTTCTCTTTGGTGGATGGAAGTTAATCCTACAGACAGTTATTATTTAACCCTTCCCTACTGCTTTATTCTGATTGTAAAGCAATTACACTGTTTACTATCTATTATTATTATGTATATGACTTGGTATAATATTGGTATATCAAATTATTTATAAAAGTATAACATTTTAAGGCAAATATATATATATATCGTTTAGCACTACTAACTTCCAGTTTTTGCTTTAAGATATATAGGCTAGGTAGACTGGCATCTTCAGCACGATTGTATTAAGAATAAATAACCGTACTATGCAAAGAGAGAATAGTCCGTTTGTTTAAATTTATGAAACTCTTTTAAATGTTTCATAGTTGTCTTAATAACTAAAAGTTTACTCATATAAATTCATATGCTACATGTTGAACCAATTGATCTTTAACTTTATACATTTCTTTATTACTTAATTCAATTCGATACGTAATTACCATCTTGCACAATATGTGCAAGATTCATTAATTGACTCGATACTTAGCTTATATATATTATGATAACAAGATGTTTGATAGCTTTACTGCTTATATAGCTATAAGTTTTATGTAAAATAATATTCAGGATGCTTGTTTTTTGTTTGAATACAATTACTTTGATATAAGTTGCCTACCATATCAATTTCTTTTCTTTCGACTCTTATTTTAAATATGTTTGAGATAAACAAGGTTTTTTTTACACATGGCTTCCTCTACTACCAATCTAAATCCAAATCCTCATCCACTTGACTTCTATCTACTTCTATAACACACTGTCAAAGCAACTCATATTTTGAGTGTCAACAAAGACTCAAGCTCTCTCATAGATGTGGGAGGAACCAAATTACTTCATTCACAAATCTGGCATAATGAACGCTTCCCAGGAATTGTTATTTTTCTCGAAGTTATCCCCCATGGTTTTGACTCACGTCAAGCTCTTTGAGCTTTTATATCAGCAGCATTTCACTTGATGTCTGGATCCCTTTTCGAAGGACGGCAATAAACTTCTTTGTGAGACTAATGTTTTGTCTACAGACTGTACAGAATTTACAAGTGCAGTTCAAATAGGAATTCACTTTCCTGACCATAACAACACTATTTGTGGTGCTATTTTCCTCACTGTAGATAATCAAGTCCAGAAACTTACGCTATTGCGGCTGCCTGCTGTAGATAAACAGGAGCATATCGATGATATTCGTGAAATTCTGGCAATTTATGGACGAATTCTGGATGTAGGTATTTGCCAGAAACCTAAGTGCAATACCTTTATTATCCCAGGATATGTCATTATACAAACAGCCCACTGTAATCCCGACTAAATGGAACAGGATTATGAGTGATTAACCCATAGTATTCAGCGGCGTAACACTGATTATTAGTTCTATGTTGTCACTTGCTTCCTTCCAATATGATGTAGGTACTGCCACGGAGATGGTTATGACTGCTCCAACTTTAATACTCATCCCACTTTTCAACGTGGCTTTTGGCTGTGTTACGAAAATGGACACGCTAAACCCAACTGGTTTCATGGTACTGTCCGTCACATTCACCCCCAAATGTACCATAAGTCACAGTCTCCTGGTTCCATGGATGTGGACTTTGTGAGCCATAATGCCTTTAATCCGAACCCTATTTTTGTCGCTGTCTCGGTCGATACTAACAGCACAGAGACATGAAGTGATCATGCCTCGTTAATCCTGCAAAAGGTTGTCCAGATTGGAAACAACCCGATATTAACATTGTTCACCAATGAAGTCCAATCAGAAAATCCAGACCTCTCCGCAGAGTA